ATTTAGTTCATCAAACATGAAGAAATTAAGCTGGTGGTCAAAAATAAGTTCCACCTCTACTGACTAGAATTTATATTATTCAAGTGTAATAAATATGCAAGCTACCAAAAAGGATACTATAGGTGCTACAATACTAACTTGCCTACAAGACATACACAGTGGTACAAAGTGGCAAAATGTTATGAGAGTAATCAAACACTTTTGTGTTTCTCTCCAGCTTTTTTTTAAAATTTAGATTAGAAATACATTTGTTTTAAATGTCAATCCCAGTTCCCTTTCTCTCCCCTCCTCCACTGCCCCCCACTAACCCTCTATCCCATTCCCTTTCTGCTTCCCAGGAAAGGTAAGGCCTTCACATAGGGGATCTCCAAAGAGCAGGGCCTATACCCCTCTCCCCCAGTGTGTCTAGGCTGAGAGAGTATCCCTCTATGTGGAATGGGATCCCAAAGTAGATTCCTATGCTAGGGATAAATACTGATCTACAACCAGAGGCCTCATAGATTGTCAAGTCCTACTCACTGACACCCACATTCAGGGGGTCTGGATCACCACTATGTTGGTTCTATCAGTCTGGAGTCCATGATTTCCCTCTTGTTCAGGTCAGCTGTTTCTGTGAGTTTCTCCCGCCTAGTCTTGACCCCTTTTTTCATCACTCCTCCCTCTCTGCAACTGGTTTCCAGGAGTTCAGTTCAGTGATTAGCTGTGGGTTTCTGATCCTGCTTCCATCAGCTATTGGATGAAGGCTCTAGGAGTTATAGGTCTGTTTAAATTGTTTGACTGTACTTTATTTAATTTTGGCATGTGATATCTATCTAGAAAATTGTCCATTTCCTTTAAATTTTTGAATTTTGAGGAGTACAGGTTTTCAAAGTATGACCTGAAGGTTCTCTGTAGGGCTGGATTAGCAGATGTGTTGTTTAAATCTCTTTTTGTTGTGGAATGTCTTGTTTTCTCCATCTATAGTGATTGAAAGCTTTGCTGGGTATATTGGTATCCGTGGTCTCTTAGTGTTGGTAGAACATCTACCCAGGGCCTTCTGACTTTCAGAGTTTCCATGGAAAAGTCAGATGTAACTCTGATACATTTGTCTTAATATGTTACTTGGCCCTTTTTCCTTTGCTGCTCTTAATGTTTGTTCTTTATTCTGTATGTTTGATGTTTTGATTATTATATGATGAGGGGACTTTTTTTGGTCCACTCTGTTTGGTGTTCTGTAGGCTTCTTGTACTTTCATTGGCATGTCTTTGTTTAGGTTGGGAAAGTTTTCTTCTATGATTTTATTGAATATGTTTTCTGCACCTTTGAGCTGTATTTCTTCACCTTCTTCTACTCCTATTATTCTTTGGCTTGGCCTTTTCACAGTGTTCCTTATTTCCTGGATATTTTGTGTTAGTGATTTCTTAGACTTAAGATTTTTCTTTGGTTGATGAATCTATTTCTCCTAATGGATATTCAACACCTGAGATTCTCTCTTCCATCTCTTATTTTCTGTTGGTTATGCTTGCATCTATAGTTCCTGATCATTTACCATCTTTTTTGATTCCAGCATGCCCTCAGACTGTGGTTTTTTATTGTTTATATTTCAGCTTTCAAACCTTGCATTGTTTGATTGTTTCTTGCAATTTTTGGTTTGTCTTTTCTTCCATTTCTTTAATGGATTTTCTAATTTACTATTTTAGCACCTCTATCATCATCATGAAGTTGTTTTAAGGTCATTCTCTTTTGTTTCATCACTGCTGGGATGTTCAGGTCTTGGTGGTGTAGAATTCCTAGACATTAATGACATCATGATGGTTTTTCTGTTGTTGAATGTGTTCTTATATTGTCATCTTCCCATCCCTTCTTCCAGTGGGTGCAGGTGGAGTCTCTTCCTCTCCTGATGAGTACTAGTCTCATGGTGGGTGCAGGCAGGTCTGAGACTCTCCCTCTTCCAGTGGGTTGGAGTGGGACTAGCACAGTGATGTCAGTAGATTCTTAGTTCCCAGACCAGGAGATCCCAGAGTGAGCAAGCAGAAGTTGGGCCTGAGACAGGACCCCCCAAGCTCCCAAACACTTTTTATTGGATGTAAGAACAGCTCCATGAGATGAAACCCATACCTGACACTACTAAAGGGGACAAGAACTTGGGAATGTATATGTCATGTGTCTTGGATAAAGTCTAATATATAAGGCCCAATATATAATATATATTCATATGCTATATCTATTGATCAATGCCTCATTTAACCCACATCAGAGCAGTTTCTTCTTGAAGTAGATTATAATTTACATAGAAACCCATATATGGACAATGTGCTAAGAGTGGGAGACTTTGGAGCACTCACCACTAAATGAGATGTCTTTATCACACCCATAGCCTAAAGCCTTAGAGATTCATGTGGAAGAGGAGTCAGAATCATTGTAAGCACCAGAGGTGGTCTAATACTCAAAGAACAGCATTTACCAAATACAATTAAGGCCAGTGCATATAAGACTCACAGAAATTGTAGCAGCATGCAGGAGACTTGCACCAGCTTAAGTCAGACAAATTCCCAACAATGAGAACCAAGTCACAACCCTACCCAAGAAGCTATTTTAATTCATAGTTGCTAGGAGAGGGAAAATCTGTCTTTCTCCAATTGAGTACTTGTACACTGGTTAGATCAAACATACTCCACGATAGACCTAGTCTCAGGAGTTGTTGACAAACACAAAATATACATACTCCATGATTTTGTGTGCTTCTTTTGTTTATTAAGAAAGAGAAAGACATGAAGTTGAGTGTGTCAGAAGGGAGCAAAAGAGTTAGAGAGAAGAGAAAGAATGTGACCAAAATATATTGTATGAAAATTTAAAAGATAAATACAAATAAAATTAATAAACTTTGATCACTCCATATCACTACATGGGGACTAAATTCCCTTAAACAGCACCGTAGCTCATACTCAAACAAAATCATATATGAATCCTAACAAATTTAATTCTACCTACTTGTTAATATCTGATATGATCTCAAATTAAACTCATATTGACGTTACGTTTGGTAATGATTTTTCTCTATGAGATCTTAGTTTAAAAAAATGCCTTGAGCTCTTGATTTCATTGCTTTCAGTGGACAGAAACATTTTAGACATCTTTCAGTTATTTGTGAGTGAGACTAAAACATAAAATTCACAGCATCATTCCTAGATTAGCTTTCCCTTGGATAATGTTCCAGACATTATTCAAAATGTTAATGTTAAACTTATAAGCAAGCAAATTTTTTCAGGACTCTACACAAATGGTTTATTGGGCAATGTATTAACATGGCATAGTGATTTCTGAAGGGATTACATGCTGAAATATTTGCCTAGTGTTTATTTCCATTTCTGAGCTTTATATGGAATTTAAGTGTGTGATATATTTATATTTCCTTTGTGTATACTTTTTTTATAACTTTCTTCCGGGTAGCATTCCATTACATGATTTGTAATAACTGGCAAAGTAAAACCCTACGTTTTCCCATTTCTTTTACCAGAGACGTTAACCTTAGAGAAAATGGTCAGAATGTTTGAACTTCATCAGAAAAGAGGTAGAAAGAAGTGAAGATAACCACTAGTATCTCTGTGGCCAGTTCCTTTCCTCATGCCTCCTGTACTCATTTTCTTGAACAATCATTTTCAAAAGGCCAGCCATAATCCCTGTGGTTGCCCACGGGGCCCTACAGGTGCCTTGACAATAAACACCTCTGGCTCTAAATAGCATATTCATAGATATCTACTTATTCTCAACCATCTACAGGTCTTTGCTAAAATGTGACTTCCTTATGGAAGTCTCTCCTCACTATCATTGGCAATTAGACCTACCTCTTTCATAGGATTTATAATCTTTGAATAAAACTCATGTACTCATCTTTAATTACAGATATTACCTCTGCTAACATTATATACTAAGAGGGTAGAGATTTCTGTATTATTTGTCTTATTTTGTTTTCAGATCTGATTAATCACAAAATAGAGAGAGGTAGAGAGAGGCAGATAGAGGAGAGAGAGATGGGGGATAGAGGGGCGCAGATGCTTCTCATATTTGGTTAGAAATAATATTTTTAAGTGAAAGAACAGTTTTAAAGCAATAGAATTTTGAACTTATAATGAAGTCTGGGCACACAGCCTGCTGTAATCAGGTGCCGAAAGGTTCCTTGCAGCAAAATATATTATGTGTATGCTTATGCTCTGCTTTCCTATATTTTTACTAGAAACTGCAAAAACGTGTGTTAGGAGGAAGCACATTTTTGTATTTGACCTCAGAATGTATGATAAAAGTGAAAACAGGCTTCTATACTTGCTCCAAAAGGATATTAGTCTAATTATTTTTGTACAAATGTTTAGTATAGAACGCACAAAGAAAAAATGACTTGAGGTATTAAAAAGCACAAAAAATATAAGGTTAGTAAACCCCTTAGTCTCCTTTCTATTTTTTTTAATTTTTGAATTTTTTTATTTATTTAGGTTAGAAACAATCTTGCTTCACATGTCAATACCAGCTCCTCTTGCTATTTCTTTTACTAGTTGTGTGATGTCTGATTAACTGTGTGTTACCGCTGAGCCTCAATTGCCATATTTTCTTTCTCAATGTATTTATTTTCACAGCTAATTCATCATGTATCTAAATTCATAGCTGTTTTATTTTCCCTTTGCTTAGCAGACTGTTTAATATAAGTTCCATAAGGAAAAATCTAGTTTTCTTTTTTCAATATGCATCACTAATTATAAATATCAAGCCAGACATGATAAATTGCTTAGTAAATGTGCTGTATGATGAATGATTAAGCAAATGTAAGCCATGGAGTTATCTGACACAATGGTGGTAAATATTTGTATGCAATCATTTAAAGTGAAGAGACACCATTTTCATCATGTCTAAACCATTATCTTCATTATTAAGTACATTCTCCATGCTTCTTTAATTTGCCACTGCCTTCTAAATTAACTATCTCAACCTTAAATTTAGTGAAATAATAAAGCACTGATTTTTCACAACAGGTCTCTAAGCTGGCGGGTGTCTTGGTCAATCAGGGTGTCAAGAAAGGTGACACTGTGGTCATCTATATGCCCATGATCCCGCAAGCAATATATACCATGCTGGCATGTGCAAGGATAGGAGCCATCCACAGCCTCATATTTGGAGGGTTTGCATCCAAAGAACTAAGTACCCGCATTGATCATGTAAAGGTATGTACTTTCTGTAGAGTCAAGGCCTTCAGATGCTTATAGAAAAGCACTTAACTGTGGGCCTCATTTAAGTATTATTTTATGATTTCATCTTACTTTCAGATGGACTTTAGTCTATCTACCCTCTTTCCTTCCCTCTCTCCTTCCCCTCTCACCTTCCTTCCTTCCTTCTTTCTTTTTGCCTATATCTGTTAACCACACATTAATTTTGGAGTTGTTGCTATACCAAACATCCTGCTAGGTGTTTAGAGGAACATAAAATAGGAGATGAGACATGTACATTCCATGTAAATTTGTTATGTACTGACATGGATAAGACAGCTGAGAAAAACAAGTGATAAGTGATTTACCTCTTGGACATCTCTAAGTCCTTGATACTTTCCTTGGAACTGGGTAACAAATCTCTCTTTAGGCTTGTTCCTTGGAACTGGGTAATAAATGATTATTACCCTGAGAGATTGGCACAGAGGTACAGGGTTAAGAGGGAATGTTTGGAATATTGCTGTCACATTTTTAAATTGGGTACTAAGATAATAAATACTACAAACCTACTGTGAAAGATTCTTGAGGTATGACCTTAAATCATGTAGTACATGATTTATGGCTTATATGATTCATTTAAATATGTTGGACATTACCATTTCCTGAACTTAGCAGGAGTCACCACATATTTTTCTGTAAGGAGCCACACAGTAAATATTTGAGGATTTCTGTGCCACTTTGTTTCTGGTGCAGCCATTCAGCTGCTAGTATAACACTATGATAGGCATAGAGAATACACACAAGGGTGAGTATATCTGTGTCACAGTAAAACTGCACAAAAATTGCATGGCCTTCTAATTTATAGGTATGGACATTTTCTTCTTCTTCTTCTTCTTCTTCTTCTTCTTCTTCTTCTTCTTCTTCTTCTTCTTCTTCTTCTTTTTCTTTTTGGTCAGATAAAGAGAAAATCCTGGAAAATGGAAATATTTAAGTGGGATCTTGACTAAGATCTCCTAGTTGATTGCGATGAGATAATGGGATCCACAAAAAATATAAATCAAGAGTTACAGGCAAGAAGAAATAAGAGCCTTCAAGGAGAGAGCTGCACACTAGTGTGACAGAATGTAGTAGAGAGAGAACTCCCTAGGTAGGATTCTACTGAATCTACAGAAATAACAATGCAGAGTTTGGAGCAGGCAAGTGTTGTATTTTAAGTGATGTTAGAGGAAGATAGTCTTGCAGTGTGGAAGACTCTGAGAGCTTGAGCAAGAACTTGTAGTAGGTAGTCTCTTTGCAAAGCAGTTGTGACTATGTGGGGAAATGGTAGTCAGAAGCCTGAGGAAGGAAGGAAAGAGAAGATGGCATACCTTACAGTTACACAAGCCCCAAATGAAACATTCCTGGCAGGGCACGGAGTGAGTATATTAGCAATTCTCGTGGGATGCAGGCACACAGGAAGACTGTATATCTGCTTCATTTGGAAATCAATTAAGTGTTAGAACTGGGACATCATTTTTTGAGCTAACCACCTGACTTAGTTGGTTTTTTTGTTGTTTGTTTGCTTTTATTTTTAAAAACATATTGAGTTGAGGCTCATCCCAAAAGAATAATAATAATAATATTTTTGTTTAGTCTCTTATTTTGATTTACTTTAATTCTTCAAGTGTTATAAATTTATATGTGTTCTTCGTTTATTGTATAGCTTACTTTCATTTGTTCCAAATTCTAATCTTAGGAAATGTTATCTAGTGTTATGCTCATAAACATTAAAGATAATAATTGTGAACTATGTTAAAATATGTATCTTTACAATATAATAAAACTAAACAAGAATTATATCTATTTTCTCTCTCCATGTCTTTAAAAATATCAACTTACTATATATAGTTGGAAAGAAAGGTTCTGAAACCAGACAGAACCGATGTCCCTGCCTCCACCACTTCTAACCTGAGACAAGTTATGTAACTGCAGTGAGCTGCAGCTCTATGAGTATTAGGTAACATTAAAATTGCAAAAATATCTGGCGGTGGTGGCGCATGCCTTTAATCCCAGCACTCGGAAGGCAGAGGCAGGTGGATCTCTATGAGTTCGAGACCAAGGCTGGTCTACCTAGCGAGTACCAGGACAAGCTCCAAAACAATACAGAGAAACCCTGTCTCAAAAAAAAAACAAAAAAAATGCAAAATTGACTGTATATGCATATAATTGACATAGTCTAAATTGTCCCTAAAGTAACCAGAAGTCAGAATTCAAGAACAGATGCAATACCACAGAGTGATAATCTGTTTCTTGATTAATTTGTTACATGACAGCTTGTCTTGGAACCATATAATAACAAAATAATGGCATGCTTATTTCTATAAATTATTGAAAAAATGGCTTAGATGATTGCTGTTGAGAACTTATGATGTACTAAGCAATGTATGAGGATCAAAAGACCCCAAAATAATTGCTATCCTTATTTGTCATTGGAGAGCTTACTGTGTTAGGAGGTAAAGGAACATGTGAACTATAGTCCCATATCTGAGATACACCTAGCATGTTCCAAAGAAAGATTAACATAGACATTCCAGGGACACCTTTCACCTACACTTAAAATATGAAGATGAATGTACGTTAATAACAGGAGCAAGTCCTGAACTTATGAAGCACTTAGGAGACAAAAGAATGATCTCTGAGCGTGAGGAAACCTATATAGTCAGTTCCTGGACAACCAGAGCTACATATGAGACTCTGTTTCAAAGGAATAATATTCATAATAATAATAATAATAATAATAGTAAACTATATAATATGTACCAAACTAATTATGTATTAAGAATGAGGAAAAAGACTAAAATTTATTTAAGTTTTGGATTGCCTCGTTTTGTCATATGTAGGAGACAACATTTATACAGAAAACCTAAAATAGCTTCCTGATTGCAACCTGGTGGATTCTTGTCACTTAAGAGATACAATACTCCCATAAACAAAAAGGTGTGTGTGTGTGTGTGTGTGTGTGTGTGTGTGCATGCATGTGGGTGCATTTGGGTCTGTATATATGCATATCCCTGTGTGTGTATGAATGTAATAGAGGTCAGCATTTCTCTGGATCATGGGAGATTTACTTCGTTTAATGAATTCTTTGGAAGGTATTTTATACGGTTCAAGTTTATGAGCCCTAGGTATCATTAAGTATATGATTTTGAACTGTTAAGTCAGATCTTATGTGTTAGTGGTTATAAGGGGGTTTACTGCTTTTGATGCCATTGTTTAATGGTGAACAGAAACCATTTTAACATTTCTTTCAAAATATTAAACTGACAATCTACACTGGAATATTTTGATTACTTTTGCTAGGATTATTAAAGCCTTTTTTTCCTTTTATTCTTCTTCTTCTTATTTTAGCCCAAGCTGGTTGTTACAGCATCATTCGGCATTGAACCTGGAAGAAAGGTAGAATACGTCCCGCTTTTGGAAGAAGCATTGAGAATAGGACAACATAGACCAGACAGGGTTCTCATTTACAATCGTCCAAATATGGTAATTGGAAACTTTTAACTTTCTTCTTGCTGATGGTATTGTGCCAAAGATGATTTTAGTTTTGATCATTTGAACACTACAATTGACTCCTGAACTACTAAATATCCTGAGTACGATTGCAATTATGGAAGTGAAAAAAGAGAGATGTCAGTGTCTATGGAAAGCTAGGTGAGAATAACAATTAAGAAGCCACACAAGCACATGTGCTAGTAATACTTTAGGTTTCTCCTGGGCTGTCACTTATGACTAATTTGTATATACTAGCAAATACTAACTACTTGCTTGCTATTTAGTTATCAAGATACTATGGATGTCATTTTCAAGATTCAAGTAGAATTTGGCAACTGTATGAGTTACAGGGACTGTAACTCCTATTTGACGAAGGCAAATCATGCACTGAGTTGGAGTGCCCTGCCTAATTGGTAACAGTCGTGATTTGGCCTCTAGCACTTACACTCTGAATGTGCTCTTTACCCCTCTGCTTTATAACCCATCGGAAAGGTCTGATTCTTCATATGCAAGGTATATTTTTAAACGTTAAGGAATGTTTTCTCATCCAGAAATAAACTGGCTTCAGAAAAATAAAATTTGAATATTCTCTACAAATTGTTCTATGATCCACAGAAAAGGAAAGATGATAGCAATGAAAATATTTTATACTTTGCCTTTTAACCTAGACCTGATGATCACCTTACTTCTATCATCAATCAGTTCTCTAACTTCATACCATAGGACCAAGTTAGTTGTTTAGCAACTCATTATTCTTTTAGTAGAAGATAAACTACAACATTGCAAATGTCCATATGTCATTTTGTAGATCTCTCGAGAGGATCTCATCAGAAAGTACTTAATTGACGAGTTTGGGGACTAGAGTCGTAAGACTGTGTCATTTTGATGAGCACATCACAAGAATCATTGCCACAATAAATTCCCTTGTGGAGCTTCAGGGCTGTGGTTCATGAACTGTTGCACTCGGTGAATTTAATGCTTTCACTGTCTCAGAGAAGAAGGCTAAGTTTCTTTCAAGCACACATATTTTAAAAAGAGGCTTTGTTGCCATGTAAATCAAGGAACACAACGTCAGCCCCTGAGTGGAGTGTAGGTGAGGAAAGGGCAGAGAAATTGCAGAAAGGAACACACAGAAGCATTTATTTGCGAGTCTCCTGTGTACAAACAGATATGAGTTCACTTAGAAGAGGCAGAGGCCTTGTGCTAGAGTGGGAACAGTGTTAAGCGGTTTCCAGTGTCTTTGCTTTATTTACTTCTCACAGATCAATGAGTTGGATCTTACCCTGGCTCCATGTTGCTGCTGAAGAAACTGAGTCATGGACCAGTGAACACCCAAATTCTAGCTAATGGATATAGCATAATTGGAACTGTGGTTTGATAACTTTTAAACAATAAGATATGAGCTATTTCTTCTGCTCCATTAGTATGTGATGTTTAGATATTCAGCCTCTTTATCCAAATTTTAATGTGATTCTCTTCTCTCAATGGAATTGTTTTATCTCTTTATCTCATCTAACTAGCTCACTTTTGTCCCTTTGCCCTTTCTGTCTTGCCTCTCCAGTGATACAGAAGAAGGCTTTTGATACATCTGGTCTTTATATAAGACCTTCTGTTTAGGCAGTAATTAAACCAAGTGGGTTTTGTTTGCTTTTAATTTAGAGGAAAGAAATGGTGAGGCTTGGTACAGTGTCTTTTTCACTAGCTGTACTTCTACTCAATGAAGTAAACCTTTGGCTACTACTTCTGAGCCTCAGGCAAACTATGAAGGAAGCAAAGGAATATCCCTTGTTTCCATGGCTTTCTCTAAGTGTTGTCTGTTAATAATTCTAATATCTAGGAAGGGCTTGTCTACACACACACACACACACACATACACTTTATACAATAAATGCCTATGTTGTTACTTCTCTCTTCATTTCCTCAGAATGGTTTAGTCACATATATTATTTTAGCCTAAAGGATAACCATTTTTCTGGTGCCCATTTCATTAGAGGCTTGTAAAAATCAAAGATGTTTGTAATCACAATTCAGTTTTCATTTTGCAGTATGATGATTTTTACAGCTCTACAATTATGGTGTTAAAGCTTTGGTAATTTGAAATTGGCTATTTTTATCTCATGCATAAAATGAAATGGAAATACAATTTGCTTACAGTTCTCTGTTCTGTTTATGTAAATGGTGTCAGCAGTTACCTATCCAAGGGAGGCAAGAGACATCAGTTGTGCTTGAAATATAAACTTTACAAGTGATGTTCAGTTCAGATATTTAGATACAAATAAATTCACTCAGACATATTGCATTTATGATATTGTCTCAATACATAATTTGTAAAATTACATATTTAAATGTATGAAAAGTTTTTATAGTCCTGGTTAATAGTAGGAATCCTGGAAAGTGGAAGTTAATTTCTTTTGGGAGTTCCCAGAGCCTGTGAGCTTAATCCAGACATTGTCTTGATGAAGTCAATAGTTTCATACATGTCTAGTGTTGTTAATTTACTCTATGAAAGTTTGTGTAATTGGTTTTTGCCTGTGTTTATGACTTCTTCACTATAAACTTCCTGATATACCAGGTGTCATAGTGCATGGCATTAATCTCACAGAAATGGAGGTAGAGGCAGGCAAAAATCTCTATGAATTGGAAGTCAGTCCAATCTATATAAGGAGCTCCAAGCTAGCCAGTGATACGGAGTATCAAAAAAAAATCAAAACACCCTTCTTGATAAAGAATCTTGAATTTAATGTTTCAAGAAATAGTACAATCTCTTATGTAGATGGCTGTAGTTTCTCATTAGAGTGACTTTTTTCCAAGCCTACTCCCTATTCTTCATTTTTCTTCCCACTTAATGGCTATTTAATTTATTTAATGTCTCCTTTTTATGACACAGTTATTATCACAAAATTTATAATACAAAACCTTTTTCTTAAGGGAAGAAAACAAGATTTTTTTGTTTTATTGTCTATCATGTTAATAAATGAGGAAAACATTTTGTGTGTCACCTATTGTCTTTGATTTTGAAAATTTGTTTCAGTCTTGAACAAATACATGTTGATCTTTTTCTTATCTCTGAAGGTTAATTGAGATGCTCCATTAGAAATGTAGCTGCAGTGTGGCACCCAAACGTCCCTATACAAACATAATTTAATGCATTAGTTGATATTTACTGGCCAGGATGGAGCTTCTATATTAAAAAGTCAAGCTAGAACTTAGTTTTTAAAGTTACCTGTGCACATTCATTTTTGCAAACATGTATCTCTTTGTTAATTAAGCTTCAGGACTCACAAAAGCACAACACCATCACATTGAATTAGAGGGCAGTAAAAATTTGGTTTTTATCCATGAGAGAGAAAGTAACACCAAACCACTGGATTGTGTGAAAATATAGATTTTCAAAAAATAAAATCTACCTTAACTTGTAACTTTGAGATCCATTCATAAATCCAAAGCTAGTGTCATGAAGGCACAACTTCTTAAAGGATGCTGGCACTTACAGATTTAGCCACTCCTTGGCTCTCCTGTAACTTAATTTCCTATATTCACTATGCACATTTTGACATATTTTTTCGGTGCAGGAGAAAGTTCCTTTGATGTCAGGCCGTGATCTTGATTGGGAAGAAGAAATGGCAAAAGCCCAGTCGCATGACTGTGTGCCTGTTGTCTCAGAGCACCCGTTGTACATTCTCTACACATCTGGAACAACTGGGCTGCCTAAGGTATGTGCTGCCTTTGGGCTATCCACAGTGGCAAGTTTCCATTACAGCGAACCTGTGTGACTGTGGAATTAAAATGTTTACCGGTTGTAGCTTGTCGTTTAGGCACAGTTCCTTTATTTCTTAAATGAATTCTGTAAAAACACTTTTTTTCTTTTAGACTTTCTTTTCATTTTTTAGTTTTTTTGGTTTTACTTTACGTTCTCCCTCCCACCCTTTTTCCCACCTTCCTCATCTCCCCTATACCCCACTCCTAGTCCCCTCCTCCTAATGGGTAAGGGCTCCCATGAAGAGTCAACATAGTCTGGCACAACAGGTTAGAGCAGAGTCTGGCCCGTCTCCCATATATTAAGACTGACCATGGCATCCCACCATGGGGAATGGGCTCCGACAAGCTAGCTCTTGTACCGGAATAGTATCATTAAAAATGAAGCACTTGTTCAAATTTCTCAACTGTCAAAAATAATACTTGCTTTGGTGAGTTGGTAAGTTCAGTATGCAGTTAATTGAACATTGGACTAATGACATTTTAATATATATATATATTATATATTTTGTGGCACTGTGCTTGAACCCAAAGTAAAAGATATATTTGAAAAGATAATTTTATTTTTTAAATCGTCATATATGTTCTATATACGATGAGATGGATTCAGTTACATGTATTGATGTACGTGTATGAATGAGGGCTGGCCCCGTGTTCCACAGCAAACATGCGAAAGGGAAAGGACAAGCACGAGAGTTGGCTCTTTCCTTCAGTCACATGGGTTCTAGTGCTCTTACTCAGGACTTCACCCTAGGTGGCACACCCTCTGATTATCTGAGCCATCCTGACAGCCACGAAATAGATTTTTGATTGACGGTAATTTGTTATGTTACTGTAAATCTGAGGTTGAAATCTAGACAGTTTGAGTCAGAGACTACTTATCCAAATTATGCAGCTATTTGATTTATAATAAGGAGGAACTTGACACCCTTTCATTCATCTATCATGAGACGTATTTTTGCAAAGCAAAAAATAAAAGCATCAGTATTCATCAATGTATCTGGTCTCAACAAATTACATATTAGTATGGTATCTTCAAGGATATGTCCTTCATACAACTTCATATTATCTTTGTTTGTCTCAATTAGATGGCTCAATATTCATTAAATCAGAATTTAACAGAGATATCAACCTTTCGAATTCCTCTTCACTTCTTAGTAGCACTTCTTTGTTATTCTTAATTGTTTGAAAAATATAATGTCAGGCGTATTAAGATAATGACTCCATTACATTTCCTTTTAAATGGAAATTTAAGATAGGTCACAGAAAAGTTACATGTGAGAAAACACCTGGTAGGAGAATTTTTCCACTGAGATGACATGTTTCTTTTGAATTGTTTTCTTTCATTGTGTGTTGCACACAGTTGATGCCCAGTAACATTTGTCCTTTGTTAGTTGTCAAAACAGGTATGTGCATATGCAAAATGATTTTTGTTTGTTTTCCGAGACAGGGTCTCTCTGTGTAGCTTTTGAGCCTGTCCTGGAGCTCACTCCCGTAGACCAGGCTAGCCTCAGACTCACAGAGATATGCCTGCCTCTGCCTCCTGAGTGCTGTGATTACAGGTGTGTGCCAATACCTCCTGGCCAAAGCGATATTTTTAACAACTCTCATCATTTGAAAAGCAAATATTCCTTCATTAAATATTAGAGACTAATTTTTGTTGTTGTTTAAGCAGTTCAAGTGGTTTATTTTCACTTCTTTTTGTTATTCACAAGTCCCATGTAGTTCATCTGGACATTTCTCCATGAAATGACAATGGATTCAGCAAAGCTCTAATTTTATACAAAAGTCTTAATATGAAAAGAAAATCCTAACATTAAAAATGGCATAACCTCATTACACTTGAGACACATGTTGGCAAACTTTAGTTTGTCAAAAAGCCTCTAGAATATGTATTTAAAGATTTAAAAAAACCCACATGTGCTGTACTGAGAACTCCTATCACCCTGGAATTCACTGTGACCTGAATTGAGATATACTAATCTGAGGAAGAAAAGAGATGTTTGCGATGGAGGCTAAGTCAGCCAGTGTAGAAGAAATACAGTAAAGTTAATAATAGTGTGTAGTTGCCTCACGTTTTCTGTGGGTTATGGACGTCCCTTCCTCTCAGACCTGAACTCAAAATAACCTAATGGGCTATCCTGGAGAAAATTTATTTCAGTATGTTAGAGGAAGCTCTGATCATTTAGAATTTTGCTCAGTTTAATATACGTGTATAGAGTGTTCATTCTAAGCAAAACAGATAAGATGTGAGTCATTCATAGTCCTAATCTAGGAGGATGGAAATGCACAGCCATATGAGTAATGCAATACACACAGTAATCAGTTTTTGGAGGAGATACACAACAAAGACAGGGAGATTGGTTTTCAGGTTATATGGCTTAGCACATTTCTTAGGAGAGCACAATTAATTTGCATGAATCAGACTTGGTTCAGAGTTAGGAATGAGAAAGAGAAAAAAACATGCTTTTCAGTTTGAGGATAGATATACAGGGAAATGGTCTGGATCTGGTAAAGTGTGAGGGTGTTGAGCATATTGGTGTGTGTTTGGGACATTAATACTAGTACAGTCAGTAATTGGACATGAGCCTGATTCCAAGAGCTACCCCAAGAACGGTATATAGGCCCTTGTAAATCATCAGTGTAGAGGTCTGGCTTTCAAATCACAGTGTGGGTGACTTGACATCTTCTTATATTCCCCAGTGTATCCCCATCCCAGATGATCTTGATGGGGTCAGCTTGTACCTTTTGGTCTGTTCATGTCAAAGAAAGAGTTGGCTTCCAAGTTCTTATCAATAAATTCTTGTGAAGCTCTATAATTCTTGTGTTTCAATTAGCTATACCTGGCTACTTAAAGAGCTCTGGGCAGCATGGAAAATCTCTACCCTAGTGTACTATTTTTGCAAGAGAAAACTGTACTCCACAAACTATAATCACCCACACCTAGGACAAGTTTAACATTCTGAATTTTTTTTTACTTACATAGTTTTATCACTTAGGTCTCCCATAAATTATTGCTCAAGATTTAATGCCTTCCAGATGCTCACTAGGTTTCTGTTGTTGTCTTCCCTAGGACTCTGGCTGGACAGAAAGCTTGCCACATTTTATTTTATTTTTCCACTGACCTCAGCTGAACTCTTGTTTGTTTTGCCTTTTGATCATTCCTCTCTTTTCCAATTGCTTCAGCACTTTTGGAACCTGGTTGACATGCCAGCCTGACTCATTTAGATCTGCTCATACCCTTCTTACTATATAAAGCTCACATTCTGACATGGGACTCAGCGAAGCCAATAATTCCTGACCACGACTCCCTTGCCAATTTAAAATAAAAGCAAATCATATAAAAACAAACAAAACAAAATAGAACAAATATAAACAATAGGTTACCCAAAGCCAGTCAAAGTGTTAGGGACAGCCCTTGCTCCCACTGTTAGATGTCCCACAAGTAGACCAAACTACACAACTGCCTCACATATGTAGAGAGCATAGGTTGGTCCCATGCAGGCTCCCTGGCTATCAGTACAGACTCTGAACTCCTACAAGCAGCCTGGCCTAGTCATAATACAAGGGAGGAGCACAGTCCTACCTCAACCTGATATGCAATGCTTGTTGACAACCATGGAATTCCTGCCCCTTTCTGAACAGAAAGAGAAGAGGAATGGATGGGGGTGAGGAGGGAATGGAAGGAGAAGAGAGAGGGGAAACTTCAGGTTGGGTATAAAATAAATAAATAAATTTAATAGAAATATAAAGAAGAAAGAGTTTGGTTTTGGTGCATACTTTTGATACCATTCATCATGATAAAGACATCATGGAAGCAAAATTCAGAGACAGCTGGCTATGTTGTATCCATAGCACGTGTGTGATAGGGACATGTACATGCCACTGTATGTTTCTGCTTAGAGGACAGCCTAGAGTATCAGTTCCCATAGTCCACTCTTTTGTTGTTTTTGTTGATGTTGTTTGGGACAGGGTTTCTCTGTGTAGCTTTGTAGCCCAGACTGGCCTTGAACTCACAGAGATGGTCCTGCCTCTGCCGCTTGAGTGCTGGGATTAAAGACATGAGCCACCACCACCTGGCTTAGTCACTTTGTTTTGTTTTGTTTTATAGATTCACTAAGGATTCCCCTCCCTCTACCTCCTATTTCTGTAGGACACTGTGATTACAGACACACACTACTTAGTAGTGCTTTCCATGAATTCTACCTATCTAAATTCAGGTCTTCGTGCTTTCATGGCAAATACGTCACCCATTGAGTCATCATCCTTGCTTTCTAATAGATAACTTTTAAGTCATTAACCTTCACCCTTTGTCCCCTTTGGGTTCTAGTCATGTTGTGGTGGAAAATAAATTCAGCCCCACATCAAAGGGCCTTATAGTCTTTAGCAATACTAGCACTGTTTAAGAGTCTGAAGTCTAAGTCTCTTCTGGGAATCAGAACAATGGCTTTACTTTGAGCTTCCATCAAATGAAAAAACATGTAGCATTGTTCCTATACACACTGTCACAGAATAGGTATTCCCATTCTAGCAGAGAGGAATGGTTGCAGAAAAAGGAAAAGGGAAACAAAAAGACTGAAACCTGCTTGGGCAAATTCCAAATCCTGCAGCTCCATGTCAACACCAGAGGTTGAGAAGGAATCACCTGGGAGTTCTCGACTAACTTCAAACCTCCGGCTCTGCTACCTGCCCCACAATAGCCTCTCCTTTGGACCAGCTCCACTTGGTGTACCAGCCTTTCTTGGCAGACTCTCTAGGGTCTTGGCATCTCCATCATCCTGGTATCTCCGTTTCAACTTGGACTTCACCACCATTGCTTTACACAGTGACCTCAGGAATTTGCAGACTATAGCGCTGGTTCACATGGCTTGCTTGTAGTGACCTCACAGAAAGTTGGCATGTGTTCCATGATTTCATATTGCCTTCATTCTTGTGTCTTTTATGCCTGTAAACAAGT